TGCATACCCGGCAGTCACCGTACGCCTGTTCCGTTAGAGGAAAATGTCAGTGCGCTGTCATCCACACTCCGCAGTCCCATCTAATGTCAGTGCACCGTGGAAGGCAGAGATTACTTGGTGTCCTTCTGTGACAGCTAGAGCTGAGCGCAGGCAGGTGGTGGCAGCATTGGCCAGCTGCTGCTGCAGTGCTGTGCCTGTTCAGGCACGAGGTGAGGCAGGGGGACCTGGTGTTCTCAATCTGTCAGTCCTGCTGCTCCTAATGAAGGAAGGGCAGGACTCTGTAAATTGGAAATGTTTGGGCTCAATCAGGATGACTTTCTGGGGAAAATATATTAAGAGCTGTGTGTTGCACTGAATTAAATAATGAATTGGAAGAGTGCTTGCTAGTGGGCCGGCACAGATAATTTGGGGTACATTAAAGCCCAATAAAATGGGGGACCTATGTGAAAGCTGGTAGTCTTTGGGATCACGGCAACAGTAGGTCTCTGATAACAACCAGGGAGGCACCCCCCCCCAAAAAAAAGAGAAAAAACAGCTTTAGGGCCTGAAGATCTTTTATATAATTTTGTTTTGCTTTCATCGGGACAAACACTTAGGGTGTTACCCATGATCCTTCATTTCTCCTGCCACTGTGGCATATTTGTGTCCATCTCTTTCCAATGGCCCCTACTGTTGCCAGAAAACTTGGCTTCTGGTGTTATTTTTAGTTTGCAAAAAATAGACTTTTCTGTTTAAAGACAGGTGATGGTGAAGCTGATTTTCAAGTTTAGGGCTCAACTTTCTTCGAGTAGAGTAGTGGGAAGATGGCATTTGGCTTCTAGGAAATGACCTTCACTGGTGAAGTAAGAGGACGGGAATGAAAGTAGAGCTGGATGTAGCAGCCAATGTTAGTTTGCATTTCTTACTTGTCAGCCATGCTCAATGCAAAGTTTACATGTTAGTGGAGAAAATGACAGTCAAGTGCAGGCGCAGTTGCTTTCTGTTTTACAGACGAGAAAGTGCTAGGTGACTTGTCCACTCCAGTACCCACTGGAGCTTGGTTCAATGCCAATGTCTCATTCTGGTTCCTGTGCCCTCTGCCCCACTACTGTGCTGCCTTCTGGGCAACTGGATGTTGAATAGTAACAGCGTACTTCTTGGAAAGGGGAAAAAAAACTGTTTGGGACTGCTCCAAGAGTAGATGCTGATTCACCTCAGCCAGAGGGCCGTCTGTGTAACAGTGGGAGTCCCTGAGAATAGCAAGACAATAAAAGTGTTGTAAGAGTTATATGATGCCATTCAGTGATAATGATAACAAGGAAATACAAGATGGGCTGCTTGTTGTCAAGGAAAACTATTTGATCAATGAAATAAGGAGATTGAAATATACACATGCACAAATACACACAGGTGCATGTACACATGCATGTGGACACACACATACACAAATGCACATACAGGTGCATGCACAAACATAACACATGCACATGCAGTTTGTAAAGGAAAAACGTTTTTGTGTGTGCAATTCTGAGGAATTATGCTTAGTCCTTTTGAGACAAGGGTATGAAATCCACAAGCCCCCAGGGCTCTGTGTGGAGCTGAGCGCAGATCAAGCAGAGCTCTTGGGAAACTCTTTTGAGAAAGCAGACGGCAGCTGAGCCTAAGAAGGTTTGATTGGCAACTGTTCTACTCATCACAGGAAGTCAGGTGACACTTCTCAAAGTCATTTGTAACTTTGCAGTTGGTGGCTAATCCTCTTACTTTTCCATCCCTTTCGGTGTGAGCCTTCCGGTGATTTGGAGTTTTCTTTGGAGGCTCACGTTCAGAGGCAGGTGTTTGCTTTTCACTTCCTATCTCTGTTTAGTTTTCTTACAGAGCAGCTTAAGAGTTACCAGACAAGAGCAGGGTTTGCTGTAAGTGGTGAAGGCTTCCGTGCTAGAAGACATCCCTGAGATCCTGGGAGGTTGGCCTCTTTGCCAGGCAGAGCCTTTCTCAGTTTCTACCAGACATAGCAAGCCATAGTTCTGCAGCCATGGCCTCAGGCAGTGGTCATCTGCACTCTGTCCCAACCATCCTTTCTCCTGTCAAGAGGGCACTGGTGCCAGTACAGCCTCCTACCAGCAGGGGGTGCATTCGTTTCTCATTATTAGATGAGGGCAACCTGGATTCCTCCACTCCTTCTAAGACCTGGAGACAGGCTGCCCCAAACCTTTACCTAACCTTCGACACTTTGTGTTTTGTCGAAAGGCCAAGAAGATTTGTCTTTCTCACCTCATTCATCTGTCATTGCTGTGTTTAGGGTAAAATCAGATGTTGTAAGGGTAAACTAATGTAACTATTCCCAAAGGAAATGGAGACATTAACCAACTGAAATAAGAACAATTTCTTACTTAAATCTAGAGATGGAAAAGACCATCTCTCAGAGAAGTTTTGGGCAAGCTCTCATTTTCTTCTCTGGATGAGTTGTTGAATTCGAATCTGAGTTCTACTGCATATCTACAGATCTGGTTTTTCTCTGTGCGGTTTGTGTCTGCCTTGAGCATTCTGAATGCTTGTGCCCTCTTTGGTGACTTCCACCTGCTTTTTGAAGTTTCCTAGTGCTTTTAGCCCTCACTGTGTTTACAGTGCTTTTAGCAGTACCCAAACGGATATCCAACACAGCTGTGAGAACCGGCTTGGCGCATGGAACACTTGACTGGGACTGTATGCAAGAAGAGCTCAAGAAACCTAGGTCACAGTCTAAGGGTGGTCCACGAGTGCCTCTTGACACTTCTAAAGGTCTATATTTTTAGGGAATCACATTCAGTGAATGCCGTGGTGTGCCTTTCTAGAAAGTGAACCTGCATCTGGGCTTCCATGGTAGGTGGCGAGGCTTACATCCTGGGAAGGGGTCACTGGGGAGAAGGGATTTTAGACGAAGTTAAAGTTGGAACTATGCTTGCTCTGCCTTTGCATTTGCTGTGGAAAAATCCTGAGGTCTTTCTGGGTCTAGGTGAAAAATCTGCAGGTCATCTGGATTTGATTCAACAACTTCTCCCCACCCCCCTTTACCGTTTTCTTTTTGTGAGTTAGGAGTTACTGTCACTCTGTTGCCAGGCTGGTCTTGAACTACTGGGTTCAAGCAATTCCCCTGCCTCAGGCTCCTGGGTAAATGGGGCTACGGACGAGTGCTACCATGCCTGGCTGTGAATCATCTGTTTCTGACTCTCTCTAGTTCCAGAGTTGCCAAAATCACATACTGCTGCCTCTAAGATAGTCAGGCTGTTTCTAGAACTGAGTTTGGTATTAGCTATTTGTTTAGTAATTCCGTGGTGCTAGGAACTCCACATGGGGTTTTGGGCATGCCTAGCATGTGATTTACCATTGAGCTATATCCCAGACACCTCCTTATTTTATTTTTTTCTTGAGATAGGGTCTTACACATTGCCTAGGCTAGTCTCATTCGCCATTTTCCTTCCTCAGCCTCCTGAGGAGTTCAGAATTGTAGGCATGTGCCAGCAGGCCCAGTTACACTCACCTCTTTATGAAAACTTGTTACTTTGCAGTAGTGATGAGACTATCCTTACTGGTGTTAGTCTTATCTAATTATGAATGGCAGTTCTAATGTATGAATGGCGTGACACTCATGCCACTCACCATTCAACTCTCTTATAAAGTGGAAACTAAAGTTAAACTATCTTATAGAGTCTTTTTATGTTAACATATTATTAATGGCTTCATTCTGGCATTTTTTGAATTTTAATAACGTGATTTGTTATTGCTCGGGGATAGCGTGGAGATTATAATCAGTGTACCACCTTTTATTGGTGTGAACTCTGAGGGCAGCCATTTTGTTTTATCTAGCATAGCCCAACTCATTAATCTCTGTATTTCAGCTGCTCTGCTCTGTTGTGCATGTAGTTGGCAGTGTTCATTAAATGCACTGCTAGCATGTTGTTTTAAAAAAATCACAGCACTCATACAAGTATAGAGTAAATATGTGCCACTATTTTGTTGAGCTCTTGAATGAACCAGTAAGATAATAAAGCTCTTCTATCAGAGAATAGGCCAAGAATTATATAGTTTATAGCAAGACTTTCTTTTCTAAGCTTGAGATAAAATTGGTTAGTATGCAATGGTGGAACTGAAGCCATCACTTTTAAAGTAGCTCTTCATGACATTTGTAGTTCCACTGTGAAAGTCATAGCTGAAAATGGGAGGCCTATGGAACATGGGTCTGTGTGACATCATAAAGATTTGTAAGTTTCTTTTTGCTATCTTTGGGTTTGGAGCTGTTTGTCTAAAATATAATATAGCTATATTCAAAGCATTATTTCTCCTAGAACAAAGATTAAGTGGGGCATGTGATTCTAGTGTGCAAGTGTGTACTTTCTGCCTAAATTTATATTAGATACTAAGTCCACTCATAATTATGTTTTCATAGTGAATCATTAAAGAGAATTTAGGAACAGTTAAGAAAACACTATGAATTTCCAAAATGATGGTGTGGAGGGTTGTCTTCTAATGAGTGCCTGCATGGGCCATAGGCAAGGTTCTGGTCTTTATATGCATTGCAGTTTAAGCTGTAAATGGTCCTGTGAGGTGGGAATCATTATCTCATTTTGAAAATAAAATGAATAAGTCTCTGTGAAGTTATGCAGTTTAATCAAGGTTCTGCAGTCTGTCTGAGCCAGCATTGAAATCTAGTCTGTTTCTGAGTTTTGTATTCTCTCTGATGCTGTGTTATATTACCCCTTAAATAGCCTTAAATTCTCCTAAATTTTAAAATACATGTCTAGATAAACATGTAGATGAATGGGTCCTAATTTGCTCATATAATAGTCCATGCACAAAGCGGTCTTTTTCCTATTAAGGGGTTGGCCATTTTGAAACCACTTGAAGTAAGTTGGCTTTTTGTTTCCTGATTGCGAGATTAAGCATGTGTTTTAAGAATTCTGGCCTTTCCAGCCTCCTCCTGTAAGTGCCTTCTTGGTGACTTATTGTCTTTCTTTTCTCTCTTCTGGTCCCCAATGTGTCTGTAGGTGGGCTGGATCCTCTCCATCCTGGATGAGCTGCAGCTGAGTCCACAGCCTCCTGTGGGGGTCCTTCCACTGGGGACTGGGAATGACCTGGCTCGGACGCTCAACTGGGGAGGGGTAAGAAGTGGAGGTGGCTGCCCCTATGATAGAGGAGCAAACCATACCCCCAAGTCACTCTGTGCTCACTGCTAGAAGCAGTAAGCCACGGCAGTCCAGGGACAAGTTAGACTTGGGACTTGAACTGCCTGTTTACTTGTAGCTTCTTCAGTTTAGACTTAGAATCAGCCAGGGAGGGGGACATTGGGTATGAGACAAACACATGGTTAGTACACAGACAGCGTGATTGTTGAGGTATCCTCTGGGACATCCTGGGTGGGTTGGCCTCAAGTGTTCATGTGAAACAATCTTGCAAATTTGCATTCATCCTGACCCTTAGCCCTGGCCATAATTGCAAATCTGGTTTAGATTTCAGACCTATTGTTTGAGACAGGCACTACTTCTTTTGAGCATGGAGATTTTCTGATGGTTGTTATTGTAGCTTGGATGATACTATTGCCCTTCCCATGCTGGACCATTCTTTGGAAGTTGTGAGGGAAGTCCCCTCCTGTCACTAATTGGCCATTTTATATGTCTATTTATCTTAGTGTACTAAGATTTAGAAGCCACATGATACTAGCATGCCTAGCCCAGGAACTATGGGCATTAAAGGCTGCTAGGGCAGGAATTTTTCTTCAGTGGTACGGTCCCTGGTAAACAGCTCATGCTCCAGTTAATAACCCCATGTCCATGGTCATCCAAGAAAATCTAATTAAACTCAATGGACCATTAAAAAAAAGACATGAAAATTGCAAAGGGCTTGGGAAGAAGAAGAGGTCAGAGGGAGTGAAAGGGGAATGGCAGAGGGTAGTAGGAGGTGAGTATGATCAAAATACATTTTATACATGTATGCCATTGTGGGAGAATACATTAGAATATTTTTAAAAGATACTAACATGTCTGCTTGCCAACTTCCTAGCCCCTCTTACCAGGTCATTTCTTGGCCTCTGTTTTTTAGGACAGTGACCTTCAGATTCATAGCAGACACTGATCCAGCTTGTAGCAGAATTAATTTATCAAAGTACTGTTAGTTGTTATATTTTTCTCTACTTTTTTTTTTCCTTTTTAAGTAGCTGAAATAAAACCAAGCGCACTACAAGAAACAACTAAGCTCTCACTCATGTCAGTTGCTCCTATCCAAATCCAGTGTGTGACCACCTTGACTGGCCATGCTGTCACTAACAGCTCTCCGGGAGAGTGCTGCTCTCCTCAGCCCTGCTCCTCGGCCTGACTTGCCTCAGGCCTCAGATTGGTGGCCTCCCAGCACAAAGTCAAGGACTGGTGAATGAGAGAGGACCTTCAGTCTTCCTTTGTGCTCCCTCCCTTTCCCACACACACTTGTGTATGACCCCAAATTCCAACAGCGAGAGGGAATCTTGCTGTTCACTCCAGTAAAAGCAGCAATACATAAGGCACACGCCCAGCCAGCAGGTTGTTCCTCAGCTCAGCTCAGGCAAAGCTGGTGCTTACGAGCACTTTCTTTTAAGCATTATCTTTAATGTACCAAGAAGGGGAAACACAGTTCACTCTTCCAGCCTTTATGATTTTAAACCAGCAGGACTATGGCCGACTCTGCCTTGCCTTGCTGTGGCATTGACTGTGGCTTTCTGATCCAGACAGCGAGGGTCTGTGCTCTGATTCTGTCCTCAGGGCTACACCGATGAGCCTGTTTCTAAGATCCTGTGCCAGGTGGAAGATGGCACCATTGTACAGTTGGACCGCTGGAACCTTCATGTGGAGAGAAACCCGGACTTGCCTCCTGAAGAACTTGAAGATGGCGTGTGTAAGGTTAGACAGTTCTTCCTTTGAGGGCAGGAGAGGTAGTACGGCAGCTCGGCATACTCCCTGATCCTGTAGAGGCGCTGGAGTTCAGTTCCCAGCACTTGTGTTGGGTGACTTACAGTTGCCTGAAACTCCAGCTCCAGGGGATCTGAAACCCTCTTCTGACCTCTGTAGACACTTGCATATATGTGCACTCACTCATATGTATACAAATAAATAAAAATAGCAAGAGAGAGAGAGGGGGGGGGGCGGAGGGGAAGAGATATTCTTTTTCTGCTGATGGAGCACTGGGCAGTGACCTGAGTGATAAGATACATATCCCATAAGACACACTCGTGACTTCTGCCTTTTAAAAGATAACAGGATAGCTTTGGGACTCTGGCTCTTAAAGTTTCGAGTATACTGTCACCACCTCCCTCCCTGTTCCCGCTCCACAGACCCTTCAGGATTCAGATATTATCCTTGTTCCAGAGCTCAGGGACCTGTTCTCTGTCTTCAGCTCCACACTGGGAAAGCATGTAAACATTTGTTAATCTCTTGAGCTAGATGCAAACAGCTTATGAGAAGATGGAGTATATGTATGTGCCTAAGCATTAGGTGCACGATCTTCCAGCAGGAGGAAACCCTTAGACCTTGCTGGCCTGACATCAAACATCCCTTTTGTGTGGCCAATTGCCTCATCTACTTGGGACTTGAAATGGTCTAAATAAGTAGTCTGTCTTGGGATTTTTCTTTGGTGACTGAGCATTTATGGTAAAGACAACCTAAGCCAAACCAAGGCCATCATTGTAAATAAACTACTGTGCAGCCTTACTTCAGCACCTGAATCTAAGTTTTGACCTGGATCTCCGATTGACTTGGTATGTGACTGAGTAGACAGGCCCTCCATGTAACTTCTCGCTTTTCTTCCATGGTAATGTGCCCTCCATTGCAAAGGCTTAAGAGTCTCCTGGTACACTTGTTAAAATGAAGATTATGTCTCTCTCCAGAGATTTGAAGTAAGTTGACGTAGGGGTAAGGCCCCTGCACCTGCACTTCAAGTAATATCCTTGCTAGTTTGGATCCATCTGTTGAGCCCAAGTTATTGTTCACCACAGTCCTGAACGATTTTGTTAGACACTCAAGTGTCTTGTTTGGATTAAACATCTCTCCTCATCTCCACTGTTTTCCACCTAAACTCCACTCCTCAAATTAATAAATCTTCTATTAGACATCAGGATTGCTCACGTGAAGTTGAGTTCACAATTGAACATTGTTTAAACATAAACATATGTGATACTTTTAACTGTTTATTTGACTTAATTGAGATTGTATAGAAAAACCACCAAAGTAGAAGGAAGGGGGTCTTTCTACTGAAATGGAAAAATTTAGGCCATTTTGCTAAATGTGGACTGGCTAGGCCTACAATTGAACTCTTTTCCCAAAAGCTTGAGAAATGGAAAGACATCTTGATGCAGCCAGAGAACGTCAATCCAGATAATTAAAGGGCTTTGGGAATGGGGTTTGGGGATCTGTAGAAAATTGGGGCACATTTTCCTGGAAAATGTGAATATCTTAAAAACAGACTAAATTGGAATATTGCTTAGGGAATTGTGACCAGATGTTTTCCTTAGCTATCAGTGGCTGCTAAGACACGGGTTAGAATTGTAGCCAAAGTAATATAAATGGTAGAATGTTTCTGTGCTCTTGGCACGATCACTGTGCTGTCCTTACAGGGGCTGGGGTTTTGTTTAAGTGAAGGGACTGGACATTCTCAAATACGAAGCCAAGAGAGTTAGACATGGTTTTGGCATGGCTGTGTAGCTTGAGTTTTTCTCTACTCTGGAGTTTGTTGAAACCAATTCTAAGGGCTGATGCAGCCCCCGACCCATCAAGGCTCAGTCTCAGGGGCTTCGATGTGGGGTCCCCCTTTCTTTTCATCAGAGACAGAAAGCAAGGCTGTCCTCCTCTGCCCTCTCTTTTAATGGGACAATATTTCTCCCTTTAGCTTACCAGGAGATCTTCCTGATCAGTTAGAAGTATGTGACACACGCTCTAACAAATGACTTTGGAACTTTAAAGGCTTCAACACTTACTTCTAATAACAAAAGGGTACAATTCAGTTTGGGCCAGAAACCTGACAATTGTCTAGGGACATTACCTCTTTTAATTTAGTATTTATCTTGCATCCTGAGCCATGGAAAGAAATGTGGGGGAATTCTCCTTTCCTTTCTTGCACTTTCTGTATGCTTCTCTGGTTGTTCTAATATTGAACTGGATCTTTCAGACGACATCATGTTTACAATTTCAATGGGGCCTCTCAGGCTTCACAGCATTCCTTCTTGCTGGCTCACAAGAAAAGTCAGGGTCAGAGAGCATAGGAGAAAAAGCTAGAGCTTACATGTGCTCTGTATGGTTGGTGTGGTTGTCCTGTTAAAGATATAGGTTCAACCAATTAAGTGGGAATCTGAATTATATGTCTTTATATATTTTTCATATATATGAAACGTATTATATATGTGTATGTGTGTGTGTGTGTGTGTGTGTGTCTGTTGCTTCCTTTTTCTATCAGCAATGACTGATACAAATCAAATTGACTCTCACTGCTTTATTTCTTATATGAGATTTGTGAAAACAAAACAAACAAACCTTTAAAAATAGATTACATGTTTATTCAGGCTGCAGTATTTATGTGTGGAATATAAAACTCTTGAAAACGGCACATGCACTGATTAGGGAAATTGGACTGGATCTAGCAGTTGCGTTTATTTTCTAAATTCACAGAATCCATCTCTCTTTGTAGCAAGATTGTTACAAATGAGCACCCTCCAGTTTATGTCGCTACACTGTGCACAAGAATGGCTCTTCCTTAGTCATTTGTGTTTGTGTCCCTTGTTTTCTTATGATTTATGAGTTGTGAGATTTCTTGATTTGAGCTTTCACTAATGAGTTAATTCAGGAGCCCCTATGTCTTGTCCATAAACACGCTCTACAGTGAGATATGACTGATCTGTGTCCCACAGGCTGCCCCAGAGATAGGGTCTGGTCTTGGGGTCTAGGTTGGTGTCTTCTAGTTGACTGTGAACAATGTCACCTTCATATTCTTCTATTCTTGCAGCTTCCTCTGAATGTCTTCAATAATTACTTCAGCCTCGGATTTGATGCCCACGTCACCCTGGAGTTCCATGAATCCCGAGGTGAGGACATGTCCCATTTCCGTCTCCCTGGGAGGAAATTTCCAGGCATGTTCTACACGTTCCCCTTTGCCTGCACATCACCTGCATGCCTGCACTGTGCTTCCCTCTTGTCCTCCTTCATGATGACCCTGGGAGCTGGACCAGAGGGGAGCTTGCTGTACATAGAGACCTCAGACCTAGCTGTCTACAAGCTCAAGGGCAGGGACAGAGGTCCACTCCAAGTCATGGGATGTTAATCTTTAAGTTTGACTCTTATACTGTGTTCTGAGGATCCAAACCAGGGCTTTGCACGTGATAGGCGAGTTCCCTGCCACTAACATGCCTCTCCCACTTTGAATGGAAATTCTTTTATATGTATATATTATATACATATAATATATACATATAAATATAATATATATTCTTTTTCCTTATTAAGAAATTTTCTACTCACTCCACATACCATCCACAGATCCCCCCTCCTGCTTCCTCCCACCCCCCCATCCCTCTTTCCCAAGCCACCCCGCATCCCCACATCCCCAAATCAAGGTCTCCCAGAGGATCTGTTGAATGGAAATTCTGAAGGAAATAAAATTCTTGGATAAAAATTTCTTTACTAACTAGGATGCACTTAGCTTCCGTCACAAACCACCAGAGGTTCAAGTTTAATAGGTATATCAGAGCCCTTGTAATGTGATAGGGAAGAGGAAGAGGAAAGAAACAGCCATGTGGACATAACAGAGGGACTATGGGACTTTTCGTTTGAGAGGAAGGAGTGGGATGGTGGTGAGGTAGTGAAGAAGGTTCTGGGACCTTCACTGGGTGAGGCAAGTGGGAATGAGGCTGTAGTAGCTCCCTGTATGAGAAGATGTGGGTCCAAGACTCTTGGAGAACAAGTTTTGGAAGCGAGTAAGATAATTGGCAGCTGATGGTTGCTGTGGAAGGGAGAACACTTTCTGTGGGGTTGTGGTCCCTGGTAGGTTGGGCAAGACACAGTGGAAAGTTCCACATCCATGTGCAGCACTAATTACTAAGTGGACTCAGTGGATTACACATAAGCTTGAGAGAAGATGTGCTGGGAGGGCCTAGGGAGGGCAAAGTGGGGGAGTGGAGGTGGGCACAGGCCTGATGCATCGTGTACACACATGAATTTTCAAAGGATAAAAGTATTTGAAAAATTAAAACGATATTATATATCATAAAAAATAAATTTAGATATACGTGAGAAAAGGATGAAATAGTAAAATATTTCATTTTTCCTCATTCAGAACAGAGAAAATTTAGGATATAGGTTGTCACGATCTCTTTCTGCCCTCTACCCCTCTCTCTCCCTCCCTCCCTCCCTCCCCCTCCCTCCTCCCCTCCATCTCTCCATCTCTTGCACTCTGTCTGTGGGTGTAGACTCCATGGCTCTGCCTTTGTCCTCCATCTATAGGTGTGTCGGTGCCTAGTTCCCCGTGAACGTGTTTAGATGTAACTGCGACATAGTTATGCAAGGTCTCAAACTTGGGAGATGAAAGTCAAAATCTTTAGGGAGGAACTGTTGCCTTCATTTCCTGCGGACTCTGCAGAGCTCAAGTGATTTCAAAACCCCAAACTTGAAACACAGAGTACCGAAAACCAGAACCCCAAACTTCAGATTGTGGTTACCAGGCAAAGCAAAATCTAACTCTTACACACTAGACATCCACAGTGGAGCACTAAGATTAAGACTATTAGAATTCAAAATACAGCTGAAGCACAGCCCTGCGAAGCCCTCACGGGGCCCAGGAGAAAGTGTCTGTGGAGTTGAATTCTGCATCAAGGAAGAACAGCAGTACCAGGTGAAGAAGGAACCGTCCTTTGGGCATCCTCTCTGAAAGGCTAGAAAATCACAGGCAGAATGGATGGAAAATAAAAAAAAAAAACTTTAAATGTTCCAAATTGGAAATATCCCCAAACTGGCACATTCCTGCCAACACCTAGTCATGGGAAAGAGTTATTCAAGGGCCCTATGTAGGGCCCCTGTTTGTGACATGCTTTTCTTCCTGTGTTTAAAGAGAGTTTATTTGGCCAGTAAACAGTAAACATTTTCTGGTTCCTAGCATATTTCTCCTTGTTTCCTTATCTTTAAGGTCTTATGCATCTGGACTTCTTAATAATAAGATTCCTGAATTTCTTAACAATATCTCTAAAGTGACACAGTATCACAAATACAAGAATTTTCAAAACTAGGCATCCTGGCGTGAAGAGGCCTAATTGAGTAAGTGGCCCTGAGTAAGCTCATTCAAGAGAACCTGATTTGGGGCCTAACAATTCTGAAAGTTATTCTAATAATATACACCTTTGTACTAAGAAGGAATTTTTATGCATCAGAATGAGGAGAATGCAGAGAGACACCACAGTACAAAGGGATGTAGTTTACAAAAGAATTTTGGGAAAGGAGACCAATTTGACTAACAGATGCCAAATTCCAAGCATTAACCTTGGAAGTTTATTGATAAGGCTTAGTGTTTTATTTTATTTTAAAATATTTTTACTTATTCTTGACAGTGCATATATATATGCATATATATATGAGACACACCCACATATATATGTATATATGACACACATATATGTCACACACACACACACACACACACACACACACACACACACACACAAACACACACGTGCGCGCGTGCGCGTTTTAAGCATATGCACCCCTCACTCTTCCCTTTCTCTCCCCCTGGACCTCCTGTGCCCATAACATATCCTCCAATACTTGTGTCTTCGTGTCCCCTCTCTCCCCCTCACCCACTGAGTCTGATGAGTATTGGCCACGTGCACATGAGTGTGGGGGGGCCATTCATGGACACATGGACAAATTTCCCTGGGACATACCTCCAAAGAAGATTCACTTTCCCTTTCTTAGCTAGGATCCTCAGCTAGGATTGGGGATGTTGAGAGCTCCACCTGCTTGCAATTTGAGGCTTCAAGACAAAAGTTGTACAATTGACTGCAAAATACCTTAAGGGTGACTCAAAGTCTCGTGAGAGCCATTGTGAAAAAAAAGTATGAATAATATCATGAAAATATGTTACTCTAAATGGGAATTATGCCAGCCCATCTACTTGTAATGGATAACAACTATCAATTGCACGAAGGCAGAATTTTAAAAAGTAACTGTAGAGAGAAATTTTGGCATAGATGGGAAACATTCCATCAAATGGACAGTTCTTAGCATATCTACTTATGTAGTCTTTCTTTTAGACTGGAAAATTAAAATCACTTTAATTTCAGGACAGCTTATTAGAATTGTTGCTATGCAGATGGCTTTAAAATTATCAGTTGCAAGTCAGGCAGGGAGTGGAGGCATTCTTAGTATTTTGTTTGACTTTTGGATAAAGGGGGTACATGTAATAGTCTGAGTCTTTATATTTGATGAGACTGAAAGTATACCTCACTTGGTTGGAAACAGAGTGCCGATTCTTCCCAAAGTGGCCAGAGCATTCCTGGACGAATGCTTGCTCCTTATGCATCAGAAAGCAAAGTGTTTGGGAGAGGATTTGGAGCTATAATGAGGTTGGTCATGTAATTTTCACTTGCAGTATTGCCTAGGACGCCATCATCAGTGCTGAGTTATCACAGTGCTTGAGGGAGTACATAGAAAATATCCCAATACATTAATGTTCAGGCGTGTTAACAGTGATTATAGCTGTCAGTGACAAACTCAGGTCTCATTTCACTAGCCGTGGGAATGAGATTGTCACTCTTTGGACATGGATATTAGACACATCAAACTTTTAGTTGGAGATCAGCTGCTTCCGTATCACTGCCTCATTAAAATTATGATTCAGAGGAGCTGAACCTTATGCACGAGGTCAGGAGATACACTTACGATTCTAGAGGAGGCTGCATTTAAATCAATTTAGAATTTGCTACTTTCACTAAATATAAAGAGGCATGCAGATAGTGTGACTCAAAGGACTGTGACTTCCGTGGTTCGTATCACAGAAAATTTCCTTTAAGAGGCTGTTAGGTGAGACAGTTTTGCTAAATTTCTTCCTTGCTGAAGATGCTGCACAAGGCCCCTGGTTGAGGCACCATAGCTTAGACAGCCTGTCCTAGAAAAGTCCTCACCATCTCAAACCTTCCATCTTGAATTTCTGTGTGAAAGCCGTTCATCATGTCAGTGTGCTCCTGTAACATGTGGTCATCACACTACTACACAGGCAGAAGGACTGATAAAAACACTGGGTGTTCGTGTGCTGATTTGATTCAACCGATCTTAATCCTCACTGCCTGGGATGCCATTTTTTTTTTTTTTTTTTTGGTTTTTCGAGACAGGGTTTCTCTGTGTAGCTTTGCGCCTTTCCTGGAACTCACTTGGTAGCCCAGGCTGGCCTCGAACTCACAGAGATCCGCCTGACTCTGCCTCCCGAGTGCTGGGATTAAAGGCGTGCGCCACCACCGCCCGGCCGCCATTGTTTTTAAAAGAAAAAAAATCAGCTCACATCTAAAGGTGGTGTGACAGTGAGCCCGGGTACATGCCAAGACACTTCCAATGATGTCTTACCTTTCATTTTCAGACCTGTCTCCCCCTCTTATTTATTTATTTTTTATTACCAGCTCACAGTCCAATGGTGTCAGAAAGTGTTTGTTACAGTACCAGAATGTTCCATTGGAGGATAAGGCCCACTGATTAAAATAAAAAAAGTATCAATAGAAGGAATATATAGATGAGTTGTGCAAACAGGGTAATATGCATGGAAGATAAGGGAGACATGTGATAATAGATAAGAATGAATGCGGGTAAATGTATCAGGCGGGAAGGAAGACTACAGAGGAACACACCTGCTTGTCCTCAGCATGAGTTAGATGGAAAGAGAATGCACAATAAATGACTTTTCTACAGTGCTTGAAAAATGATACTGGGAAAAACAGTATTTTAAAAAGTAAGGGGCAGTTTTTAAATGTCCTTAATGGGAGTTGATATTGAAAAGAAGGAATTTTTAAAATTTTAGTATATAAAGTTTGAATTACAAAGTGGTCATGTA